ACCATGTCTTAATATAGCACTTCGTTGACTCAAACATTTTCAGTGTGGGATTTAACACCCCTTCCTCACGATCAAACTCTTCATATGGATCGTGCCGTCATTCATTTTTTTCCGTCAATTCGTCATTGTCATTTTTTTTATAATTGTGTCAATCAATTTTCATAAGGGGCCCACATCATGGATCAATTTGGCTCTTATACCATGTTAAGATCCGGGATTCCATTCTAAAAGGTCAACCTGATATGAGGAGTAGACCATGTCTTAATATTGCATTTCGTTTACTCAAACATTTCTGGTGTGGGATTTAACATGATATTCATCCTTATAGCTTTATGAATTATGATGTAGTCTTTTAGTAATTCTTGAGAAAATTCTCGAAATAGGACTAAAAACGTTTGAAAATTCCAAAATAGGATGTCATTTTTTATTCCCTAAATAGGAATAATTATCGTTGGGTGAATTTCAGAAAAACCAATAAAATAATTAAAATAAAGCAACCAAGAAAACAGAAATAAGATGGAACAGAAAAGCCAAAGTTTGTGCAATGCACAATTTCCTTAAAACATATTAGTTGCTTCCGCGGTGCTAGGAGCATTGCAACGATAGTTTCACATGATACGGTGGCTACGAACAACCGTTTGAGCACACAATCGATTGTTTCGGCGAACGAAAACAAAGCAAGAAGATAAAGAAATTTGTTGAGAACAAGAGGTGGTTTTAGCTCAAAGACTACGTGTATATTGTGTATGAACGTGTGTTGTTGCGAAGCACCTGCCAGCTATATATAGGGACAAATTTGTTGTGTGTTAAGTGCATTTTAATGGACCTGGACGTTGGACATAAATGACCAGAACGTTGGCCATCAATTCGTCCAAAAACTGTCCATTGAAAGGTGCATTGAGGGAGAAGATCGTTGGGCATTCAATGTTGTAATGGTTCACCATGAGCCTGCTGGTGACGGTTGGATAGCAATCAGCAACGTGCCAGCGAGCTGGTTCTGGAGCAAAAAATAAGAAGTTACGAAAAGAAACAAAAATTAAATTATCTCTTTGAAAAATAGATTTTCGAACGACATTAGTGTCTGCAGGTTATGATTTTTCTTCTCCGATTTCGGAATTTGATCGACACCCCCTACGCGAAGAGAACCTTTCACCTAAAAATCTTAAGTCCTTCTTCAAATAGGGTAACCCTTATAAAGGGGTGAAAATCTCTTGAGTTTTCCGGTGTGAGATAAATCACACTAGATACTCATCATTTTCCTACTTTTCTCCATTTCAACGAGTGAACTTCGAGAACCAATTTTTCATTCACCCGTTATCCGTTTTGAGTGTATCATATATCGAATTGAAGCCCTTAACAAGGGGAATCCGAAACCACTTTGACCCAACCAAAATCCGAAGTGGGACCCACCCAAAATACTACCCCAAATTGCCCATTAAATGCAATTTTAACACATTTTTTCCAACAATCACTGGCATGCTCGAAAAATACAGATATTTTTAAAATCTGGTACTGTCCAAACATGACAGTAATTAGTTTTGTGTAGGGAATAAAAATATGATAGTCTTATTTTGGAATAGACAAACGTATTTAATTACTCCTATTTGGGGCAATTTCCCTTAATTATTCTTTATCAACCTTAGTTAAAATTTTTATTTAATTGGCATATTGGCATATAGAACTATCCACAATGGGCATAATGTTGTATACATAAAACACAATTCAAGAAACATTAACTAAACGCTATATATGTAATTTTCACTTAAAAAAATAATACGTAGTATGATCAGTATCTTCAATTTTTCATTTTCTATCTTTTAATTTTTTATCTCAACCCAATATTAATTTTTACTATCAAAATGTGTGAATTATTAATTAAACATAAAAATGTGTTACTGTAATCACCAATTTCCAAATAGCTTCATTCATTGGAACAACGTAAGCTTATCCACAATGGATTATGGTATTTGATTATATTCATTTTTTATTCATATATGTATCATTAGAATACAAAATTGTACTGTTCAAAAACTTCAGTCGGCTCTCCATTGAGGACAAAATATAATAATCGTGCTGCTAAATTGGTCCAATTTGATTGCTGATGAAAGAATCAATGATTTGTTTACGGCATCCCTCATGCTGGTCTACTATTGACCAGTCATCTCCACGCTGGCACGCTGTTCTACTAGTGGCCACGTTACACATCTCCACGCTCTCACATACTCCCTCCGTCCCTAATCTTTCTCCTTTTTCGGTTGGGCACATTTATTAAGATAGTGGAATTTGTGTGGTGGAGAGTTGTGCAGAGGAGAGAGAAATGTGTAAGAATGTGTAAGAATGATTGTGAACCACAAATTTTTTGCTAAGAAGAGGAAGAGGAGATAATTTTGAGACGGACGAAAAAAGAAAGTTTGATGATAATTTAGGGACGGAGGGAGTATATTTTTAACTGGATTGATTTGGATTCTAGATCGGACAAGATCAGGACAAACGAGATCAAACTGGACTTTGACACATATATAGAACAAACATCTACTAAACAAGATCACACCAGTTGTTCACATATCATGCCAGACACAAATTAAAATAGATCAGATCAAACTAGACGAGAAAATTACATTAATTAAAACATTTTTATAAAAGTGAAACTCTGAAAGTATTGAAAATTGAGTACCGACGTATCACTTATATATATTTATAAAAAGACAGAAAGTGACAAAACCCTTTATTAACTACCGCTCATAGAACTAAAAGCAAATTATAAGCCACAAAAAGATAGACACTTCATCCCTATATGATTCATCACACACACAGATATAATATATGGTCCCGTTTGAGGATATGGCAAATTGGCAATAAGCCACAATATCATTATGATCTTTATTAAAAGGTAAATTATCACATCATGAGAAGATATAAATTTTCTACTGAGTACGTAGTATAATCAGTGGCGGAGCCAGAAAAACGACTCAGGGGGTCGAAACTCAACCTATATACAGAATGAAAATGGTGGATCGTTTTTAAATATCGTCCAAGTTGAATATTTAATATGCAGTTTAGATATATATATGCACTTGTAGCAGTAAGATAGGTTTTCTTTGCTCTGTTTCTGAGTTGTGTCACGTAAGTATTGAGTGAATTATACCCTATTTTTAAAATTTGGGAAAATAATCTATAGTATGCATCAAATTTTGCTGATTTCACGTTTAGATAGTGTTGATTTTCCGGAAGTCATTACTTTTTACTCGTAATGAGTTACGGGGGTCATAATATATCAAATCGAAGATATTTCAGATCTCTATACTCTCAAACTGTATAATAACATTTTTTGTTTACCTGATTTTCTACGGAGTATAACATTTTTTATGTACTTAACAATTTATTTGGTACATTGCCACGAAAGCAAAATCTTCATTTATAATACCACTTGCCGGTCCAGGCACATACGAATTTTGTTGAAAAACGTTTAATCCCAGTATAGACATTCATAATTCACATAATTAATGCTTTGTTTTCTTAATATGACTAAATACATCTTCTTTTGGTCTTTTTTTTGTGAGACATCTTCTTTTAGTCTTATAACTCCTTTGAATCAAACAGCGCTTAAAAATAGTAGTAGGGAAAAGGACTCAAAAAGTAACGGAAATGGCGTGAAAATGCATCATTTCCTTAGCTTCCTAATTATTGTCATGTTTCAAATAAAAAATAAAGATGTACTTCAACATTCTTTAATTCTCTAACCTTCCCCTAACATATGGGATTATGATAAGAGTAGAGAAAGACACGTTGTGAGGGTGTGAAAGTATTTTAGGCCTTTTCGTGAAATCTCATTTTACCTTTTCGGGAAATTGCACTAAGATTGTCTCATACCAAATTTGATAAAGTTTGTGTGACTCTAAATCATTTTTATTTTATTTTTACTTTATTAATTTAATACCAACCACACAAATTCACTTTTCTTAATAATCGTGTCACCTTCTCTTGTCTCAATCTTAGTGGGACGGAGGTAGTACTAATTAAATTCAAAAAGATAAAAATATAATTTATTTTTAAAAAAAATCAAGAAAGTGACATACTCAGTGACCCGTTCCCAGTTATTCATAATTTCTCAATGACTCATGCATCATCTATCAGTGACTTGTTGTCATTCTGAAATCACTATAGTGACTCTTTTCAACTACTAGTACACAATGACCAATTATATTTTGTCCAAAAAACATAAATAGTCGTATTTTGATCAAGGAAAACTCCTTTAGTAATGTATATTCATGTCTTTTTTTTCAATATTTTATTTTATTTTATTTTATTTCTTCCTTTGATTGATGTCAAGTTTTAATTAATTAAAAAGGACAATGTGGTGTAATATGACATTCTTTTTCGTAACTTAACCCTCCTCACATTTGCCCTAACCATATACTCCCTTCATCTCATTTAACGGTTCCCGTTCACTATTCACCGATCATCGTGCATTGTTCTTAATCTTTTACTTTATATACATTAAAAGGTTATGAAATTTAAATTATTTTTTGCACGTTTTGTAGCGGTTTTAATGTAGTTTCTGAATATGTGAATTTTATTTAGTAAAAATAATTCTATTAATGACAGAGATCAGTTAACATTATGGTCAGTCAAACATCGTAAACCGCGCGCGTGAGAACCTTAAAGTGCGGGGCAGGAAGTACATCATTGTCCATATTGTATAGGGGTGAAATTGAAGTGCTCGTGTGGTCCATCCTATAACCGGCCTATTAATATACTAGTAATAAACATTTTAAATGTGCCAATTGGCAATTCAAATCAAATTCAATACTGTATATACAAGGAGCGGACGACGACGGTATTAATAGTCAAGATCAATCTAGGTTATATATAACCATTTTTTTAATCATTATTAATTGACCATCAACTTATAGATAACGATAACGCTGTCATGACTTGCATGGAAATTGCCAACTTCATACCTATATAAAGGGGCTACGATAGGGGAACTTAAATTATATAGAACCAAAAACGATCCATATATAAAAGAACAAAACTAACCTAAACAAAAATCATACGAGATCGAAATGGCAATAATGAGAGCAATTTTAGTCCTTTTAACTTTGGCAGAGATCAGCCTAGCCTTACGCCCTGTCCCAACCCAAAATATTTCTTCTCCATTAACCCGCAAAAGCTTTCCTCCTGGTTTCCTATTTGGAGCTAGTGGATCTGCTTATCAGGTTCGACATTTTTATATTACTTTTATAATTTATATGTTGCTTTTAATATAAATCACAAAAGATCAGAATATATATATGTTCATGATTTGATAATTTAATTAACTGAATGGCTGACAGCCTAACAACAAAAGTTCTTTCACCATTATAAGGTCTCAAAGATCAATTAAAAGGTGAGTATCTTATCCTAGCTACAAGTAATATTCTATCAACATGGATAGTTACTCATAATGATGAGTAATATCTTACTCACAAAAGACCAATTTCACTTAAAAAACATGTTTATAGTACTTGTTTTAGAATATATGGAGCAATAATAATTAAAACATAATCGTGAAAAGTTTTTAGTGTCATTTTTTTTATAGTAAACTTCAGAAAACCAATTTTGGTTTACCTTCAAAAAGTGTAATGACATTTATAGATAATTAATGACGTTTTTATAAAAGATTCACTTACACGACAAAGTTTTGCATGCATGCATATATAGATTGGTAAGTGATATATAATGGCATCAATGTATATAGGTGTCTACTTGTAAGCAAATTGTTTCAAATAGGATTTTATAACACAGACAAAAGTGCTTCCAATAAGTACTATTTTAAAAATAGAAAAAAGGGTCAAATAAGATCTTCTACTATTATAAAATAGTCACATAATGTCATGTACTCAATAAAGTGTCATATAAGTACATCTACTTGTATAAAACAATCAAATGAGTCATAACGACTTATTTAACACCTCCTAATCCCGATTTTAGCTAACATGTCGATTTTTTTGACTTGTATTTCAACCAATCTTAGTTAAATATTTGATTAAGAGGTACGTTGAAACTGGGATTAAGAGGTGTTAAATAGGTCATTAGGACTCATTTGATTGCTTTTTACAAGTAGAGGTACTTATATGACACTTTATTGAATACATGATCTTATGTGACTATTTCATAATAATAGAATGCCTTATTTGACTCTTTTCTCTTTAAAAATATAACATAATTACTCATATTGGCACACTTTGTTTATATTTTAGTTATATTTAAAGAATCTTCTCTAAGGAAAAGTACACCCTGTATGTTTTTGTTTGTCAAAATAATGAAATATGCCTTGCATCTATTTTTCTCTTAATATGATGGCATATATATGGAGTATGTACTTTAGAAATTAGTTCTAGATATATTTTCTTCCCTTTTTAAAATATATATATGTGTTGGAACAATAATTAGGAAGGCTAGAGAATGAAAGATCAAATGAATGGTTAAATTTCTTTACTTGATACCAATGAAGGGAATATCTGAACTGCTTTGTGATCAAAAATTTTAACTCACCTCTCATCTCTTAAATTCAACACATAGAAGCTTTGCTTCAAAATATAAAAATTATAATAAATTTATGACTTGATATATTTAATTATTTCTTTGTTTATTGGTATCATTTTCTTATATATATAGTTCGAAGGGGCAGCAAGCGAAGATGGCAGGCGACCGAGTATGTGGGACACATACTCTAAAGACCATCCTGGTTAGCTTACGAATTTACCATTTCTGCAAATTGATTTAAACTTTTTTACCAAGAGTTAAAAAGTAAACTAAAGCTTGAAGTAGAGAAATGCTATTTCCACCGATCTCCCTTAATTATTATTCCCCGCTGGCTCTTTTTTAATTCTGGATTTTCATCTGATCTACTTATAGAGAGAATTCTGGATCATACAACTGGTGACATTGCAATAGACTTTTATCATCGATACAAGGTATCATCGACATTTTCGATCTCATTGCTTTGAATTAATATAATTAAGCATCTTCTCCTATGGATTATTATTTATTTTATTTACATATTACAGTATATATATATATATATGGATTCATTTTAAGTTCGCATATATGTTACGTTTTCGGTAATGTGTCAAAATAGAATTGAAATTGAATAAATATTATAATCCTTTTCAGTATAAACTAATCAAAGTGATAAACTATAAGTCTAAAGAGAAGTGAGAGCTATAGAGACAAGTAGTATAGTTGCTTTGTATTAATGAATTCTGAACCCTTACAACTACTCCCAGAGGGAGTATTTATAGGAAAAATTAGGGCTGTGCTCCCAAGTCTTGGGCTTGGGAGGCCCATTTACCATAGAGCCACTAATGAGCCGGATACAAAGTACATATAAAAGATTAAGTGTAAAGTCTTATTCTGGAGGCCATCTGTGGCCGATGAGGGCGTGGCCGACGAAGACCCGACCGACGAGGTCACCCGACTCTTCCTGGCTTCTGGATCACAATCTGAGTAGCCTTCTTCTTGGCCGATGAGGGTCATCTGACCGACGAGGGTCCCACCAGGTGGTCGTGGTACCTTCTGTTCTTCCGAGTATGTGGGCCCTGGGATCCAGGCCCATATACTCCATCACAAAGTGTTACTCTCTCATTAACTTAACTTGGAAGGTAAAGGCTAAAGTTTTAAAATGGTAGTATAGCATTATCCGATTGTGATTTACCTTTTCTTTATTTGACTCATATATTTCATTGATAATTAATATATTGAACTTATACTGTAATTACCAAATAATATAGACTTCATAACTCAAATCCCGTTAATTACATACTTTATCACGTGTAATTAAGCACAGTGGAAATATATACTTAGCTATTTTTGACTTTTGATTAACTTTGACCAATTATTTAAACTAATATATTTATGTAAAATTTAATAATTTTATACTTTTATGATAGTATTTTTAACAAAGAAAATTTTCATATCATTTTCATATTATTAATACTTTCTCTATGTAAATATATAATCGGTCAAAGTTAGACTTCATTGATTTGAAAAGTCAAGATTGACTAAGTAAAGTGGGACGGATGGAGTATTAATTATACTCCATATACATCAAAACATTAGTAATCTCATTCGAGAACTGAATGGAACCATTGCAGGAAGATATTGAATTGATGAAATATGAAGGAATGGATGCTTTCAGATTTTCAATCTCTTGGTCTCGAATTTTGCCATGTAAGAAGCTCTACCCTTGATTCAATTTATATAATTAACTATCTAGTTTGATGTACCAATCAAATATTATTCACAAAATAAGAGTTGAGTTTCCTAATCTTATTGTATAGCATTATTTAGTGTAAAGGCTCATGCTTCTATTAATTTTCTCTTATATTTCGGACGAGATTTTACAGAAATTACTCCAAATAGGACTAAAACATAAACAAGAGTTCCTAAAAAGGCAACTCGATATACGAAGCCATATATTTAGCTGAATCCAATATTGATATACTAATCCAATATAATCTAAGGAAAATATTATTTTCATCAAAATTGAACTGAATCTTCCACAAAACAGGTGGTTAATTAACCTGACAATTTATAAATCTTGGAATGACATTATAAATTCGTAAAATGATTTGAATTTTTCAGTAACTAAATATTGAATGTGTTATATCGATAAATATCATCATATATTTTGAGAACCTGAATCACCATACTTAAATTTGTGAGTTAATTAACAGATGGAAAATTGAGCAAGGGAATCAATCAGCATGGTATTACCTTCTACAAGAATCTCATTGATGAAATCATTGCAAAAGGTAAGCTCTCTCTCAAGTCTCAAATTAAAATATAATCCATATATTCTATCAGTCAAGATTTTGAATATGTGGCTTACATTTACACACAAAAAGTTCCGAGTTTCCACACCAATCACAAATTTCCATTTTTTTTGTTTATTAAATAAAAATTACTCCCATTAATTCACTAATTAAGTCAGAAAGATCTTTCTTAATGGGCATTGACTTGATCAATTTTGTAAAACTAACAGGCATGGTTCCTATGGTCACTATTTTTCATTGGGACGTTCCTCAAGCATTGGAAGATGAATATCAAGGATTTCTCAGCCCTCACATTGTGTAAGTGAATTACACTAGTTCAACTAATTAGTTTTTATCTTTTCTTTAGTTCCAATTATATTCCATGACTACTAAATGAGTGTTCTTTAATTAACATATATTATGTACTCCCTCTGGCCCCCTAAATAAACTTTACTTTCTTAAAAATCGTGAGCCAGACTATAAAATTTATCTAGGACCGGAGGGAGTACAAAATAGGAAATAATTAAATAAAAATCATGACTGCAATAAAGGGTGCAGTGTTCACAAAAAATGTGATTTTTTAAAGTAATTTCATTTATTATAATTTAGATTTACAACCATGATACTCTATGCAGGGATGACTTTAGGGATTTCGCAGATCTTTGCTTTAGAGAATTCGGTGAAAAGGTAAAGCTATTTGCGACCATTAACGAGCCATGGACTTTCTCATCCAAGGGCTACGATTCCGGCGATTTCGCCCCCGGTCGTTGTTCGCCGTTCATGAACCCTACTGCGGGCTGCCTTGGCGGCGACTCCGCGACTGAACCCTACATTGTTGGCCATCACATAATTCTTGCTCATGCGGCTGCAGCTAAGGTTTACAGGGAGAAATACCAAGTACGCATTGCTATACTATACAAATTATATAGTCATTTGTGGTTATATGTGTGTGGGATAAAATGTTCCACTACACGATTTAACGAGAGAAATGAAAATGAATCTCGGATATTTGATTTAAGACTTTTGCACTAAGCTATTTGAAATAGAAATGTGCACCTCCATGGAACCAAAAACGCAATGCCATTTTTAAATTAATTGTTCGTTTTTGACATTGCGAGTTATACATTGTTCGAAATATAAATGTGTGTCGCCATGAATAAACATATTTACCATTTAGCATTTTTTACATTATTCATGGAAAGAACCATTTTCACGGGTACTCAATGTCCTACTAGATGGACAATTTGAAGTGAGCTACATTTCAGTTTTGTTACTAAAATTGGTTTTATTTTGAGAGATTTCCCAAAATAGGAGTAAATGAAGTTTGAAATTCCAAAATAGGACTACTTTGTTTTTATTCCCGAAATGGGACTAACATGACAGTATTTACTGTCATCTTGTAGCCGTGACTGCCAAATAGTTGCAGTACAGTGCATTTAACATTGACAGTATTTATTATAATTAATGAGAGTAATTTTCAATCATGACAGTATTTTTCATATATGACAGTAATAACTCCTATTTCGGGAAGAAAAATATACTAGTCTTATTTTTGGAATTCCAAATGTCATTTGCTCCTATTTTGGGTAATTTCCCTTTTATTTTTTGGAATGCATGGATGAGATGAAGTATATACAATTATGTTTATTACCTGCATATTAATTTTAAACACATAATAATAATAATTATACAGGCAACACAAAAAGGGAAAGTAGGAATTGTACTGGTGTCTCACTGGTTTGAACCCTACTCCTCCACGCCAGAAGACAAAAAAGCAGCCCAACAAGCTATTGATTTCATGTTTGGATGGTGAGAATTATAGTCTTTACAATTTACAAATTAATCTAATTATTTCTACGGAGTATAAAATAAGTAATTGTATATCTGTTATAATTCCGGTTCTCATCCTTAAAAGTCAAACTAATAGGAGTAATCGGGTATCTTAATATATCACTTTATTACTTCATATTTTACTAGTATGGGAGTTTAAATGTAACTTATTATATTTTCTTTGGTTAACTTGATGGTTTATATAAAGGGCATTACATCCATTAACTTACGGTGATTATCCAAAGAGCATGAGGACACTGGTTGGAGACCGGTTACCGAAGTTCACATCCGACCAATCAGAGATGGTCAAAGGATCATTGGACTTTCTCGGACTGAATTACTACACTGCAAGATATGCTAAATATATTTCGTCTCCTAACAAAGTTAATATCAGCTACACCTTCGATTCTCAAGCCAACCTCACATGTATTGTTTCCTGGCCTCTTTTTTTTTTAATAAAAAAATAGAGTATATATATTGTATTTTACTTATTTATCAAAATATTACTCCTTCCGTCCCATAAAATAAGTCTCATTTCAATTTGGATCGGAGTTTAAGAAAGTGAGAATAAAGTGGAAATGTATAGTTTTGGTTGAGTAAGAAAAAGGTAAATGAATGTTAGTCACATAAAACTTTCCAAAAAGGGAAATGAGAACAATTTTTTGGGACAGTCCAAAAAGGAAAATGGGACTTATTTTATGGGACGGAGGGAGTATATATTTATATATGTAGTATTTGTTTTAATTTTTTTACTTCTTCATTTTTACAGCGGAGAAGAACGGAAAACTCATTGGTGCAGCGGTATGTTACGCCAACAATCAATCCTTAATTATATTTGATCCAACATTAATTATTCTTTTTTGAATATTTTTGTGATCATATCCAAAATTAAGATGACAAGAATGCACACATTATAGTCAATTCTTTATTATATTTCTGATAATTTTTTCTTTTATTTCCAGACGGGATCAACAGAATTTTTCGTCGTCCCAAGCGGACTTCAAAAGTTGCTTCTGTACACAAAGAACAATTATAAAAACCCTATCATATATATTACTGAGTGTGGTATGTGCTCAGACTATAATAATATTAATTACCATATTATGCATGTTCAAAAAATCTAAATAGATTGAAAAATTGTTGATATATATACTTAGACTATACTCCGTATATCTTACTTCCCTCACGATGAACAAATCCTAAAGAGAACGTGATAAGAGAGCTACACGGAAATATATGGTGTTAAAGAAAATTTCCACCAACTTATTCTCAACAATTCAATATGAAAAATGGCAAATAACGCTGACTAGCAATTAAGCAAATTCAAATGATTTTATACAATGTACACAATATTAATTTGAAAATGTGATGCAAAATCTAATATTACTTTAAAATGGGATGCAACATTATGTTTAAAATTATATTCCAGTCCGGGTACTATTTGGACAAGTTGAGTATGTCCAAATCATTGGCTCTACTGTCATATGGAGTAAATTTAAATTTGGGAAATTACTCAAAATAGGAGCAAATGACACTTGGAATTCCAAAAATAGGACTAGTATGTTTTCCTTCACGAAATATGAGTTATTACTGTTATGTATGAAAAATACTGTCATGATTGAAAAATACTGTCATTAATTATAATAAATACAGTCATGTTAAATGCACTGTACTGCAACTATTTAGCAGTCACGATAACAAGATGACAGTAAATACTTCCATGTTAGTCCCATTTCGGGATTAAAAACAAATAGTCCTATTTTAAAATTTGAAACTCCATGTACTCCTATTTTCAGAAATCTCCTTTTAATTTTATATAGGCTAGGATAAAAGATTACTAAACTTTAAAATATGTTCGTTGACTGTTTATGTCGTTATAAATATTAGGAATGTCAAGCTTGGGTGTCACTTCAATCGTCAAGGAAGGAGTAAATGATACTGAACGGGTTGATTTTTACAAGAGTCACATTTTAGCCGTCAAGCATGCCATTGGGTACTACTACTACCACTATTATTATTATTATTATTCCTTATTAGAAATTTTATCAATCCAGAACCTGAAAGATAGACAAATTATCAATGGTGGGTCTGAAAGATGGAATGTATCAATAGAGGGTAGAAGACTTGAATGATGGAAAATTATCAATTTAGGAAAACTATCAATCTGGGACCTAAGTTGTCATGAATTTTATTATTATTTTTATTTCAAAAATTTTAAATACCATTTAGTTTTATTAAACTAATAAACTTTTGTGAAGAAAATTGTATAAAAAATTAGCAATGGAATTAATAAAAATAAAATAAGTAAAAACCGATGAAATGTTAGGTCTTAAATTGATAGTTTTTCATCATTCAGGTCTTATACCGATACAATTTATCTTTCAGGTCCTGAATTGATATAATTCCTTATTATTATTACTATTGTTGTTGTTGTTACTGTTTATTGTTACTACTACTACTATTATTATTATTATTATTATTATTATTATTATTATTGTTATTAAATATTGCTGTTGCGAGCAGATTGGGGGCGAAGGTGGAAGGCTTCTTTGCATGGTCATTCTTTGATAATTATGAATGGAGTTCAGGGTTCACCAGTAGATTTGGTCTCAACTTCATAGACTATGAAAATGGCTTAAAAAGATTCCCCAAAAAGTCAGCCCTATGGATGAAGAAGTTCCTTCAGCAAGATATTTAACTCGTATACTCCGTATATGTGTGCATAATACGGAGTATACATAGTTAATTTACGAGTAACATTATATTATTGGTTTTCTGAAAATTCTCGAAAAATAAAGCTGGGATTGCACTCCGAATGAAGTCATGATGTTGTTCCCTTGTATCAATTAAATATTGTGTTTCCAATTACCCCACAAAATTGTACTAAAATTCATTCAATTAGTGCAAGTGTTTTACATGCTTTTATAAATAAAAATAATAGTGATGTCACTAATTAATTTGTGTCGTGAAATTAATTTAGAATATGATGTTTCTTATTATACTAACATTAGTCGTTTACCCGTGCGTTGCACGGGATTATAAATTATGAAATTATCTATCCATGAAGTCGTCTATTTTCCCTGATTATCTGAAATTCATATTTTTTACTCTTTGCAAGTATGATACGTACTATCAACTAAATTATGAGTTCTATTTAAATGTGTACTCAAGATTACAGGCTAACAAAAAATCAATATGTATTAAAAGTGAGCTAACCATTGGAGTTTCGGTTACCCATCTTCACCGAGTCCTGGGAAATTGTACATTTAAAATTTTCAAATATGAAGGCATTATAAAAGAGCCTAATAAAGATTAAATTTAAAACAACAAAATAAAATTATAGGAACATATTATTTGTAAAAGTTTACATCTATCATAAATATATTTGATGAAGGTGAGATTTTGGGAAAATTTGATTCTATATCTCATAGGAAAGTTTTCTTGGTTTCAGTGATAAATTTCATTCTCTCTAGAAATTGTGTGGGGTGTAAGGAAAAAGAACAATTGATATGTTAATGAATTGAATGATGAAGTAAAGTGGCATATGAATAAACTTGTAGATGATAACTAACCTTAGTTTCTCTATAGATTCAAGTTGTACCACCCCAAATGGTTCAATCAATATTGTGCAATTTTCTAGAAATAAAAAACTAACTTGGATTAGCAAGAAGCAATACATACTATAGAGCAACCTTTATTTAATGTCATGATATAGTTAAGATTAATTATATATATCGGAAAACATACAAATGCATAATACAAAAACTGACTTCAAAATTCACAATCGTCTCGTAAAAGTAAAAGTGAAATAATACAAATGTATCATCTAAAATTTAAAAATTATGGCATACTCAAAATTGAAATAAGGTAAATACGCACATTAGATTGTTTTTTCAAAACCACATTATAATTAACCAAGCTAATCATAGAAAGCGTAGATTCTGGTGTTACCCTTCCTTCTAAGTATGTTGCATCTCCAACACGTGAGATAAAATGAGATATACTACTCCATATCTACTATAGAAGTAACAGGTCAGATCAAACGTAAACAGACCAAACCATGCACGTAATTTCAATTCAAATTAGAACACCCTAACATGAAATATAAAACATCACAAATAACCTACTATTTTTATGAATTAGAAGCTAAATTAATTAATAAATTTATAGATTAAACTTAGGATGTTTTACTTGAACTTATTACAGTGCCAGATCAGACTTCAACGTACCAGTCAAACTTCGACAGATGTAAAATATATAGAGATCAGACCAAATCAATTCAAATTAGACTAAACTAAACTTAAACAGACCAGAATATTTAGGTCCAATTAAAAAAATCTTTAGACAATTGTAGAGTACACATAAAACAGATCTTTACCAAACCCATTTAGACGTAAACAAACCACCTCTTTACTAAGTGGAGTAGCAAATGTTCCCTTTTATTAGGTTCCACACTACCGGGTTAGTTTCGTGATCGGCTCACCAAAGATTCACTTAGATGCCAATAATAGGTAGACTTCATTGTGTATTATGTTTTAAAATCTTTTAGTCTAAGAAAACAAATAACAAAAATCTCTCCCGGTCATATACTCAATGGTCCATTTTTAAATTGATATCTTTTGTAACCTAGAATGGTCACTAGAATTACAATTGCTTGTAAAATAAATTAAGAGATATCTAGTTTATTCTATGACACCTTCACACACACTTATTCGTTCGCTAAGAGATTAGTGACGATTAAGGGGTCGTACGCTCGCTCGCTTTGACAATAATTTTAGATACATGTCGCATGAGAAATCAATTTGGTTCCCTAAATTATTGTACTCTACGCTGCAAGAGCGGTTACAACTTAGTATTGACTAGTGTGCTCAATTAAATAAATTTCATGTAATTAAGCCTGATCAGCCAGAAATCTGATTACCCTGGAATCAATCCTTGTTACATCATTAATTAGAAAGCACCCATTAGTTTTATTTCTTTATTCACAATTTAATTTTCCATCAAATCAAATCTCGCACAATTTATTTTTTTATTTTTCTTAGTTAGTTTTCATCGCTGAATTTAATTAATACTTAATTCCCTTTGTCCATCCCCGTGGAGACGATACTCGTACTTACACCCTATACTGCTACATATTTTAAGTGCGATAAAACTAACATCAGATCATCTGCCACCATTGCTGAAGTGTCGTTGCCAATCACTATTATGTTTTTATTCTCTAAATAGAAGTAATTACTGCACATGACAATATTTTTCAAACTTGGCAGTAATTATTTTTATATAGGTAATAAAAACACGACAATCCTATTTCAGAATTTTCAAACGTACGTTTCTACTCCTATTTCGAGAATTTCCTCTATTTAGTCCTATTTAAAGAAAAAGCCAAATGTAGTACTAATTTTGAAAGTGGACTTTAATAGAAGTAGGACTTTAGTTTAGAGACAAAGGGAGTAAATTTCCCAGAACATAAGTAAATTAATACTACGTACACATTAACACTTCTATTTGAGAAAATACGCATTGGAAGCTATAAACTAGGGTTGTAGACGAATCAAATAATTTATTCTCGATTCCGGATTCGAATTCGAAAATTTCAAATACAAATGCAAATTCTAAATTTGATTCGAAATGTTATCAAATACAAATACGAATATCAGTACATTTGATTCGAATGTTAATCAAATATATTCGATTAATAATAGTGATATTAATGATAATAGTAATGGTAATAGTAGTAGTAATAATACTATAAAATTTTTAAAAACTAGTTATGTCCTCAAAGTGTAGCCAATATATACATTTACATATACACATTCTAATCTAATTTCTAATAAATCAAAAGTATCATAAGGAGTGAGAGTTGTAAACGAAACAAATAACTTTAATTCGATTCATGATTTGGATTCATAAATTATGATTTAAATTTGAAAATATAGAAAATAAATACGAATACAAATCCGATTTTTGCTTCAAGCATCTTTCAAATACGAATACAAATAATTATGTATTTGATTCGAATAATAATATAATATACATTCGTTTATACATAAACAAAATCAACTATCTAGTATGTGTATGTGCATCAACTACCCACTATGTGTGTGTAATATAAATTATATATCTAATGGTGTTTTTTTATTAACAATGCTAAATATCTAATATAAAATTAGAGCCGTTTAACTTTGGTTTATGCTAAATGTCACAAATTAAATTCTAAAAATGCATATTAATTAAAGTCATAGCATGCACTTCTAACATAAGAAATACACGAAAAGTTGTTTAAAGTGATATTTGACTGATATTTAACTTGATCAAATCAATTTGATATTCGTATATGATTCGTTAACTATTCGTATTGTTAAACAAATACGAATACAAATCGAAATTAATATTCGTTTCATATTTGAATTCGAATTTGTATTCGAAAAATTAAACAAAGACAAATACAAAATCACCTTATTCGACTCGATTCGATTCGTTTACAACCCTAGTATAAACCAAATGTTAATGATAGAGCTCATAAAATCGTCATGTTTACCTATTCTACTAGCAGGCTGGTGAAACCCCGATAGAACGGAGTTCAAAGTCTTCACACCCCCCTTTTTAGAATATACGTAGTACATACAGAAAAAGTATTCATAGGTTGATGCCCACCCCACATAACCATCCACGCAATTTCCTTTCAAAATACATAAAGAATAAGTGGTAATATATTTTCGCTTTTAAGAAAAAGAATCACATGAAAGCCAATCCCAGACCAACACTGTTTCATTGGCTCTTTTCCTGAGACTGCCTTTGAACCTTTGAATCCTTTGATGGTTGACTATAAAGTGTATAAAGTAGATTATCAGGTCATTCCCATTGTATTCTACTTGAATTAAATTCTAAAGTAAAATGTCTAACAATATTCTTAAGATATTTTTACACCTTGATGATCAATGGGAGGTTAAATAGATCACAAAATCATTTTTTATATACACTATTTTATATACATATACTGATAATGAACTTAGACCAGGTACACTTGACATTGTATGAAAGTTTTACCAATTCTAAACCCAGGAAGCACTGTAAAGGCTACCCGTGACTCCCTTTCCGGCAAGCCATCCCATGATAAGAACGGGTTGTCATTTACATTCTCCATATAAACATCAGAAAATCGAGTACCTTTGCTCACTTGGAAGATTGAAACGTCATGTTCGAGAGAAAATGCCAAGTCATGCAAAATCCAGACACGCTTTGCCATTTCGACAAAACAAGTAAAGAAAGCCGTGTTCGGGTATTCTCCAGACATCACCATTTTGCGTTGCACCCCATTGCCAAAAAGTGACTCTTCAATGTCTGGGTGAATCAGTTCAAGGTATTTGTTGCAGCAATACCTCCTTTGAGATGTTGATGATGCTAGACATGATGCCTCGTTTGATGAGTAGTCGAAGTTCGGATGATTGAACCCATCAAACATCTCTCTAGTGACAAAAGACTCAAATGCATAGCATATGTGGCTTGCTTTCACGAATGAAACAACATCGGGTTGAATTGAAAAGGCTGCAACATCTAAATCCCACCCTGCATATTTCATCTCTAAGGTCAAAACCCTAACGAAACTTCGGATTGAGCTAACCGTCTCCCCGAGACATTTGATGAAATGGGAGGGAGTCGGTTTGGTAGGAGAAGGAAATTCAAAGCTCTTCTCCAGTAAATTGTTGCTCTCTTTATTGGCTTCCTCTAATTTCGCCCTCAAGAACATGATTTCGGAACCCTTCAGCTTATCCTGAGCATCTAGCTTCTTGGCTGTGGTTTTATAAGTCTTAAGAATGCACTTTAGCTCCTTAATTTCAGCCAAGAACAATGTATTCTCATGAGAAGAAAATGACAAAGACCGATCGGCCTGGATCTTGTAGTTGTTGTAGTAATAGTATGATTGTTTCAATTGAGATAGTAATTGAAATTCAGACACAACCATCTGGTCAGCAGCTTGAACCCCTTGAGGATCATAAGGCGATTGAGCAGATTGTAAATCTGCATAGGCAGCTTTGACAGCTGAGATGCATGCAAACAGTTTGGCCACAAATGCTTCTTCTGCGATTCTCTCTCCTAGCTTTCCATCCCCTCCTTCCAAACCCTCAAGCAGATCATTGTTGCCGCTATTAATAATACCATCGTTTTCAAGCGACTTCCTTTTCTTGTTCACTTGGTCAGCTCGAATGTGAAAAGCCTTGGCTAAAGCGCGAGACAATCTAGTCTTTCTTGGCGTAACAATGTTTTCTAAATTCATCTGAAGCACAAGTATAACAAAAACTAATGGAGATGATGATGCAAAGGGCTATTGCAAATAGAAGATTGTGGAGGAAAATATTATTGAACCGACAGCATTTTATAAGGACCTAATACTCTCAATGAAAAAAACATCTTTGATCAAGGACATATTCAATCAATGGGCAATGGAAAATGTGATTTCTTTTAGTTTTATTCTACATTATTTTCCTTCTTTAGAGTTCCAAAAGGTGGGTTCAAGCCAATGGAAAGAAAAAGGATGAACAGAGATATAAGGGATAAACGAAACTTGTTAGGAAAGCAAACTTCAGCAAATATAAAATTAATGTTGATCTTGGACCACCCCTTGACTTTTTCAAAAGTAACTTCAAATCTTAATATAAAACAAGCATTAGATTCAAACCCAGAGTAAAAGCACACCAATTTAAAAAAAAAAACGCCTCACGGATTTTTATTGGTAAAAAACTCTATTCTGATCTCCATTGGTCCAAGCCTACACAGATTTTTTGTTAGATCTCTCCAAAAACTAAATAAATTTGATGCATATACAATAAAAAGTCTAAAGTTGAATGGTATAAATAAATCTTCCACAATACATACTATAGATGATATGCCAAAACGTGTGAATGCAGAAAAACAAACAAAGGGATATCGGCTAAGTAAGTGGTAACATATTTAAAGTGGGAGAGCACATCGTACCCCTTTAGTGGACAAGGAAAGAATATCGGTTCCTGAGCAAGACGAAGACCGATTGAATGAAGTCATGGAGGGGGTATTAAGGAAAGGGAAAGCAAAACAAGGATCTTGACTCTTGTAGGGATTGCCAACCTGCAAAAAGTTCAATAGGTAGTCCTTGATGACCCTATATTTTTGGGAATATGATTTGATCCAAAAGATGGAATCTCCCACCCTAGGAGTCCCATACTCTGACCCGACATGATTTTTGGGAGAATTTAACGGTGACTCAGTCACCTCAAGGATGGTATACCTTATTCTAATGCGGAGCAAAGGTCCAGCCCAACACGCAGCTATAACCCCGAGCCGTTGCGGATTTCGAACCTTGGTCACTTGATCCAAACTTTTCAAGACCAAATCAACTGAACAAACGGTGAAGTTTTTTTGGAATATGACTACTCCACTTTCAGTACACGACATACTGTGCCTCAAGATTCATTCTACATAGACAATTTCACAAACAGGTGAGCTTCGAAATTTTGGCCATGCCTTTTTATCATCTTTCTACACAATCTGGTCCCGCTTCGAAGCAAAAGAAAATATTCGCGTACTTTTAATACTCCGTATTTACCAACGTGTCGGAAGAAAATGGAATAGTCCGATGCATCATCTTGTCACGTTTCCATCCATCACCGTCCTCAATGGGCTAATCCGTTAACATTGTTCCAAAAGGTGGAATCTCCCACCCCATGAGCCCCCACCTCGACTCGACAGGATGATGAGGAAGTTAGTCACGGTGACTCGGTCTAGAATGACAGTAGGCTCATACATCTGTGCGCACCAGAGGCCCGATCGCTCATACCTCCACCCGGTCGCTGCGGGGATTCGAACCTTGGTCCATTGTTCCAAATCTGTCACCGCTCGACCAACTGAGCTACCCGTGCGGGTAGGCTAATCCGTTAACATTTACGACCGGTGGCGCGTTTATGAAATAGTGGGCTCCGGATTTGTTTAATTTAAATAGGACTAAAAGTGTTTGCACATTGCAAAATAGAATTATCATATTTTTATTCTTAAAATAGGATTAATAACTGTCATGTTCTGGGCCTCTGGCAGTGTCAGATTTTTTTGGAATGAAAATGACTATATTGATATCATTAGAATCAGGATCATTACAACAATCTCATAATCACCGGAACTAACATTTCAACTACTACTTTTAGCGTTACGATCAGACATAGAGACGATCACCCCTAAAGGAGCAATACAAATCGCTAACTACTTGACAGGCTTAATGCAGCTGTTGCTGAAAAAATAGATCTGCCCCCACTAATAATATCAAATCTAGCCGAACCCTCTATCAATGTAAAAACCTATTACCATAAACAAATACCAAAAGCAAAACGATATCAACGAATTTCTTCGAGAACAAATTAAAAATGGGGACAATGAATTTAAACAGGATGAACTTATTGAGCCGCTGAAACCAATCTTCCAGCGCATTATTCCGACCCCTAATCACCCATTTCCAGCATGGTGGCGATTCAGGTTGGGGGCATATCTTCATCCCTTCATCTTCTTCTTTCAACACCGTGATCTGCCCGTGATTCGCCTCCATCTCTTGGTCAACATACCGCACGAGCACAACCAGTCCAAACGCGAATAGTCTCCAGATCCTGATCATCTCCCCTGTGTTGCACCCTGTGCTCCAGATGAGGAAAACTAGCAAAACTCCGGGACACTGAAGCGCCAAGAAAGTTATAACGTCGCCCGCCGAAAATCTAGACTTGCTAGGACCGCCGCTGCTGTGAACCTAAGCCTTTCGCTGCTCCGAAGCGATGAAGGAAGACCTAGGCTCGTTCTCTCTATAGTAGTTTAGGTTTATTGATCACCTATTAATTAATATATCAAATTACCAATTACCAAGTATAACAATCAACTATAAAGTTAAGAGCATCTTCAATGTGAAGCTTTTCAGTACCAGATTTTAAACATGCTCTAATTCAAATTTTGCAGTAATTACTTCTATTTGGGAATAAAAAATAGGGGTGGGCGCGGTCCGGTCGAGTCCAATATCTGACCGAACCCATACTCGTATCGTGACTTTTCAAACGGTTCAGTTTGGTTCGATCTTAGACCTAAACATGTTCGGTACGGTACCATTTTCAAACGGGACGGTACCATGCCATATCAATAGCAAAAACAATCCCCTTTTTCCAAGTTTTTAAGAGGAAATTAAAGTTTTGCCATCCTCCAAATATCCACATAATTTATCAATTTTCATACTCTCTCCGCCCCAAATTGACATGCAAAGTCAATACCACTACCAAAAAAAGTCACCATTGGCTCGGATTTTGGCACAGATCGCTTCACAAATGGAAGATGGACAAGTAGATGCTCCATTCCATCGAAATAGGATGGAGGAAAGATCTTTTCCAAATTGCACAAAATAGTGGGAACGTTACGGTGAAGATCTTGAATTGCTTGTATGTCTAGCACCGGTGAGCATAACAACTGAAATAATTGAGAAACATCACAAATACATGCCCACACATTATTCGGGAGATTTTCCTTCAATGCAATTGGAAGGAGGCGTTGCATCATCACATGGCAATCATGACTCTTCATGCTCTTCATTACCAAATTTTCTAAGTCAACACATCTATTAAAGTTAGAAGTGTATCCATCAGGGAATCGTAGCATGATGAGCCACTCCAATATGCATTTCTTCTGCTCGTCCGTGAGCTGATAAACTGCTTTCTTGAATGGACCGACATACTCAGGGCCCATAGCAATTTCCGGTCTATCACAAAACAGAGCTACATCTTTCCTTGATGAAAGTTTATCCTTAGTCTTTCCCTTGAAGTTCATAACCGTGTTAAAAATGTTATCGAAAACATTTTTCTCAATATGCATTACATCCAAATTATGCCTAATCAGAAGATCCTTCCAATATGGCAAATCCCAGAAAATGTTTTTCTGTGTCCACTTATGATAAATGCGATATCCATCTGGATACTCAAGAGGCTCGTCAATGGCAGAAGGGATGTTTCGAACACGATCATAAATCTGATATCCTGTTAAAATCGGAGGTGGAGGATCACGGTCCTTGCGACCCTTGATGAATGACTTCTTATCCTTTCGATACGGATGATTAAGTGGGTGAAATTTCCTGTGACAATCAAAGTATGATGCTTTTCGACTATTCTTTAGCCAAAATGCATTTGATTTTTCCATACAAACAGGGCAACCCATAAGCCCTGCAGTACTCCATCCAGAGAGCATTCTGTATGCTGGAAAATCACTAATGGTCCACATAATCGCAGCCTTCATATTAAATATTTGATCCCTCGAAACATCATATGTAGGAACACCAACTTCCCACAAATGTTTCAGCTCTTCGATCAATGGCTGCAAATACACATCAATTCTTTTTTGGATTACCATGACCTGGACACATCAATGATAAAAACATAAAATGATTTTTCATACACATGTCCGGGGGGAAGTTATATGGTGTAATGATAATTGGCCAACATGAGAACTGGCCTCCAAATTGACCGTACGGAGCAAACTTATCAGAACATAACCCAAGTCTCACGTTGCGCGGCTCAAAAGCAAATTGAGGATAACACCTGTCAAAATGCTTCCATGCTGCGGAATATGATGGATGACACATTAACCCTTCTTCAGTGTCATGCTCTACATGCCACGTCATGTGTTTAGCGGTAGCGCTCGAGGCATATAATCTCTGCAAACGTGGTGCTAAAGGAAGATATATCAACTTAGATGCTGCAGATCTTTTTCGTGCTTTTCGACCCATACCTGATATGGGCTTGTATCTATCCGCATTACAAAACTTACATCGACTCAATGTTTCGTCGTTCTTCCAAAATAACATACAACCTCCAGGGTATGCATGGATTTTTATCATAGGGAGACCTAACTCAGAAACAAACTTTTTCTTGTTGTAGTAAGTATCGGGAAGACAATGGTCACGAGGTAACATACTACCAACTGAGTCTAATATTTTGGACATGCAGCTCTCAGATAGGTTATATTCTGACTTTATGTTAAGAAATTCAGAAACTGCTGATAATTGGGAATGATCATAACAATCAGAATATAAAGGCTGATCCGCACTTTTGAGCACTTCTTGAAATCTAGTGCCTAACACATCCACATCATAATATGATGAACTTGGTCCTTCGTTCACATTATTGTGTGCATTGAATTCACTATCCACGTGGATATTGGGAAACGTAGAAGGATGAGCCAAATCATAAAGCATTTTTTGCTCCCATACCATTTCTTCATAATTTCCCCAATTAGCCATCTCGTCGGGAACATACCTCGATGTTCCTACGTTTTGCGGTAACAACTCAGGCTCAATTGGTTCTCCTTGAGAAGTCCACTTGTAGTAGTTTTCAACAAAACCATGTGTATATAAATGCCAACAAACCTCCCCACCTTCAACAAATTTGTTATTTTTACACTCTGTACAAGGACATCTTATTTTACCTCCATCCATATAGCGTGTTTGCCCTTGTGCGAATATAATAAATCCGTTAACTCCATTTTCGAACTCTTTTTTCAATCCTCTACCATTTTCCTTGTAGCGGTCATACATCCAACTTCTAGTTTGTCTATACATTGTGCCTGAATATTAAAAAATATCTTAATGATTTTTTTTGACAGTATATCTTAACGAAATTAATTTATTAAATTTACAAATTAACGTCTCACATTGTATCTCACAAATTTACAAAATATCTTGATGAATTTTTTTTATAGTACATCCAACCTCTACATTGTATATCTCACGTTTTAAAGCTAACACTACGATTCAATCAATATAATTAAGACAAATACTACTGATAACAACTCGTAATATGGATATGATCAAATTAATTTAAAAACAGAATGGTCGAAATTTACATACCTTAAGTACAACGGTGATACCAAGTAATACGAGTATAAAGTAAAAAATCCAAGTAGAAACCTCCGGATATCAAGTAATATAACTTCCGACTTCTATCCAGAATTTATCTTACACAAATATTAAAGAGATCATTTTGAGAGATGTTTCACACACCAAGCATGTATTTGTAGAATTAGTAGGCACGAATCTTGGGACGAAAATACACCAGCCAAAACGTACCAACGGCCTTCATTGTCTAGGATATTGGCACGGAAATTCATTGAGGCAGAATGTGGGACGGGCAAATCAACGGTTATATTTTGGCACGGCTTTTGGGTCCGATATACGCCTGCCAACATAACGATTACATTTTGGCACGGATATAAGGACGGAAAGGGGGTGAGCTGAATTTGATGCGGCGTTGGCGCGGATGTAGGCACGGAAACGGTTGGCACGGAATTGAACTGCACCAACTTCAAAGAAAAAGCGCCACCCATTGGGTCGGACATAGTTCTCTGCCAAATTGTCTCGGAATTTGCGAAGGATATAGCCACAAGCCAAATGATTTGAAGTTTTTTCGGTCTTGGCACGGAAGTAGGGTCGGAAAGTCCGAGACAACCTACGATATGTTCCGTGCCTAAATCCGTGTCTATAACGAGTTTATTTGGTAGTGTACTTTTTTATCAATCAATGTTAAAGTTAAATTCTCTTTATTGATAATTAATTCAAATTTTAACAATTAAAGTTTACATATTCAAAAACTACATACATTAAAATCTCTTCAAAGTTGCAAGCTCCAAATTAAATATAATTAAAAAATGACATTCTAATTAAGTGAATAAAATGAAACTGTTTGACCAAGAAAAGTTAATTTTGCAAATCAATTTACAACGGAGGTAGTATTACATAATTAATAAATTTCACATAAACTATAGTAGTACAAATTTAAATAATTAAACCATACATCGGTCCGATTCCAGACTTCCTATGAACTAGCAAAGGCGGTGAAAGTGTGAAAGCACTAGTCAAAGTAATGGTATAAATGTAAATTTAAATAATTAAATCATACTTCGGTCTGCTTCGGTCTGATACCAGTTCTCATTTTATGAAAACCGGTCATGACATTGTTTAGAACCGGTATGGTCCGGTTCAGGATAAAAAATTCGAGATCCGTTTCAAACCCCATTTTTTGTCTGATACCATACCGGTTCGGTACCATGCTGGTGCGTTATTTTCGCCCACCCCTAAATAAAAACATGACATTCTATATTGAAAATTTCAAACTTTTTTACTCTTATTTCAAGAATTTTTCCTTGTTTTATTGGTTCCAATATAAATCAGAAATGTATAGGCAAGCACATATAGCTCCTAACCTCCCTCCTCTCCAGAATTTGCGAAGCTTGATTTATATCATGCTTGAGTGGTGAGGCGGGAGGAGCAAGTCAAAACAGACAATTTTTAATTTATAAAAAAATTACCTTTGGCTTTTACCTCAAGACTCAAGATTGAACTTTTTTTGAATCATAAAAGAGCGGTCGTTATATTAAAATCAAGAACACATACAAGACAATCTTCAGACAGAAATTATAGATCCAATCGTGAACCCTAGGAGTAGACTTAGAGTCAGCCACCTTATACAAAGCAACGTGACTCGCTAAACCTGAAACGAGTACATTTAGGCCTAAAATGAATGGAACAGAAACTCTGCCTATCAAAAGAACTCCAAAAATCCAAACATTCAAATCAAATCTACTCGGACTGAAACGAAAACAATTGCAAGTAAAGAGAAAATAATTTTGAAATAAAATCTTTCCACAAAGCATTCCCTGGTATGGAGGTGGTTCCGGAGGCGGACGAACTCTTGCAATATGGGTGAATACCAACTCCACCGCCGTCGGAATGGCTGACCAAGGCTTCACGATCCAGTCTCGATACAACCTCTCAGTCGCACTTCGTTCATCCGCCAATGCTCTCTCTTTCGACGTAGTTGCAATTCCAAGCTTTAGAACACTTAAAATCAGTATAATCTGCCGCTCCAACCTCATATTGATACGGGCGGCGGAAAATCTCAACCCCTACGAAGAGGGGAGACGGCCACTAGGGTTTCTCTATAGAGAGAGAAGAACAGAATCTCGAGACTGAACTTAAATAGTGGTTTTGTAGGGGTGGGCATAAAAACCGAATTAAAATCGGTGCTAAACTAACCCATGATGGCACTACATTAAATATCGGGTATTCTAACGGTTTTATACATTTTTATTCTAAACTAAAATTGTATCGTTTGAAACTGGTACGAAGCCGGTTTTAAATTTTGATAACCGAAAAATATCAAATCGGGTCATTCAAAAAAAATAAGTTTTGAAATTTTTAGAATTTTTCAATACCAATAAATCTCTTATTCGGATCAATAATTTTATAGGCCAAGCATGTATTTATTCATCCCTAAAATAGCTAAAGGTGTGTACTTATATAAATTTTGTTATAATGTTATTCCTTTTGGATAGATTATGTTATTTTTTGGCATGTATAGAAACAATGCTAAGTTTTAAAAACCATTAATGGCTATTAGTTTCTATACCATATCGTGAAGACACTTTTAGTCTTCCTCCATTGTAAGCCGGTTGGCAAATGACCTTTTAAATTAATACATTGACGCTTTTACCTCCAAAAAACATTTGTTGTATCATATCTTGTATAATTTTGCAACTTAATCAATATAGTTTAAATATTAGCTTCCACTAGTATACTTCCCCCAAAATTGAAAAACATGTAATAGTAGTGGAAGAGTGTTGATTTTTCACATAAGCTTGAAATTCATCATAAGTATGAAAAAGATTAGAGTGCCGTTTTAGTAAGTAAACCAAACACTAAGGGAAATATAATATTTGGAGCTGCCCTTACTACGATCTCAAACATCAAAATGAATTAAATAAAAAGGTGCAGAAGAAGTGGAAGCACATATATTAAAAGGTAAATAGAAAACTTTCCAAGTTTACAATCACTACAATAAGATATATCATCAAAGGATAATCACCAAGAAGATCAGAGGTACACATAAAATGTAGACGAAAGCCCAATGCATGTTCAAGCCCAAGATGCCACAAATATATAAAATTTAGAAGAAGAAAAAGCACTCAAATGAAAAATAGATAAGTTGATGTGCATGTTTGTTGCATGAGTACTAAGATGCAGCTCTTTCATAACATCATTACATAGACACGTTTCCCTTCCTAAGCTCTGTCCTAATCACATAGATACAACATCACATTAACATCCGAACTTTATACCTAGGAATCATGAAAATAAACCACAAAACATCCAAAGTCGCATATTTGACCAACTAAAGCAAGATTCATAGGAATACAATAACGTAAAAAGATACTCCGTCCCAAAAAGATTGATACATTTTGACTTTTTTTGGTCAATGGTAGTAAAGTTTAGACAATGATTCTAGGTATTATATTTGTTTGTAATTTATAAATTTTATACTTTTATGTAAGATTTTTTAATAAAGAATATGTTCATATAATTTTAATATTTTAAATAATTTTGTATTAAAAGATGTCATTGGTCAAACTTAATCATCATTGACCAAGAAAAGTCAAAATGTATCAATTTTTTTGGGATGGAGGGAGTATATTATGAGTATAAAGTGTCCCAATGGTGAGTTAATGACATAGGCATGCCATCAACAGTCACAACTGTGGTTAAATAGGAAAGCGCGGATAAGTGATTTCTCGCTCCAAAGTCTAATATAAAAAAGGATGACACATCATCCCTGAGTGCTCCAACACCGACCGTTAGATGCGAAGATGTAAATTGGACTTTAATCACAAGCCGAAATATAGAGAGTGAGGCTCTGGTCTGATACTTGCAGAGGCCCTCATGTTTTCTCGCTCCTATAATTCTTGACATTAATTATTTCTGTATTGGAATAAAAAGTAAAAACATGACATTCTCCATAGTTGGCGGGGAACTACCATGGGTGATCAGTCAAAGAATCTGGACTCAAGTTTCCAATAATGTACTTTAGGAACAAAAGGTTGCTTAGTCAAATATATCATCACTCTTGACTGGCGAGAACTGCAAGATAAAGGGCAAAAAGTCCACACATTCTAAACAATTGGTAAACCATACCGTAAATGCTCTTACATTTTGTCAATCCAAATAATGGAGTTTCTGGATTAAATACATGCACATGGCTCCCTAATATATTTATTGATAGACGCGTTTAATTTTTCTCCTAAATCCATTGGCGATGGGTACAAAATGGGTTAAATACTATTAATTGATTACTCCATACATCTCTTTAATAGTTCGTAGAAAACTCAATTGGTGATACTGAAAATGGCTACAGTATAGTAGTAGCTATACTGATAAAATTTCATGGCGAATTCTTTAAATATGAAAAGAAGAAAAATGCTACAAATTAATAGGAGTAAATCATACGTAGTAGAAACAATGCACAACTATAAGCAATTACACTATGTTCATAAAATAGGACTTATTTATACATTTTATTTACTCCTATTCAAGAAATTTTTCTACTCTATATGTAAAGCCATTTCATTAATTAAACAAATAAAGAAAAACAAAAAATGGTAAATGGTCACCAAATATTAATGAGTGAAATTATGTGATACATAATACAAATTAACTGTTTTGGATATGAATCATAAGAGTATTAACAGTAATAGAATTTTGGTATTGGTAGTTAAAATTTCTTGTGAGTTGTGCTCTACGCCTCTTCTACATACATGAAATAAGTTGGACAGAACATGAAATAATGATTTGATATGGTAATGCATTATTTTTTATCTAGGAATTAGAATTTGCACTGTATTTTTATTAAATTCATGAGATCTGATATTACAACTTATTTAGAGAACCATTAATATTAATATACAAAAGAAAAGTTTATACTTCCATTTCCTCCAAATTTGAGTTTGCACCTCATTCATTTTAAGTAGTTTTTTCAACTTTAAAGTGCAAAAATTAATATGTAGTTATTATGTTCATTAAAGAGTATCCAATACGGAGTACAATATTATGTAATACCCAGATAAGTCAAACAAGGAAAGCATGCATGAAAGTATGTAACCTTTTAACAGTTGAGGTCTGTCCAATTCTCTATTGATTAGAACCTATGAGATACATGTTTGAATGGCACTTTAAAGTCCCAGAAAGATTTGCCAGAATGTTGGTTTTAAGAGACGCCAGATTTTTCAGACCAAAATGATACAGCCATACAGGCACCCATACTACCCAAAATAAAACATACGTTCATCATAGTGAAAATTAATTGTTCCTTCTTTATCTCATCCTAAAACGAACAACATTGGAACTAGATTTGGAATTCATGACTACACCGTTTATGGCTTGTAGAAATCCAGATAAGCATCAAGAAAGAACAAACAAATTGCTGGTAAACTGAAATGGTCTTCACACATTCATCTGCCAAGAATGAAATTTGAGATGCATTTCATTTAGCATCTCTCTACTTAAAAAGGAAAAATAGAAAGAAAACTTGAGTTATCCTGAAGGTCAGCTGCAAAGAGACATGTGTCATCGGCCATATATGTAATCACAACAAAGCCTAGTCAGAAGCGAACACCAAGTGATCAGATGTTCCTGAACTTATAACCTAGGGCAACTAAAGTCAAAGCCTGCCTTGCATTTTGGAGCTTGCAAAAGTGATAAGACCTCAAGGGCAACTGCAAAAAATGGGGTTTAGAATCCAAAGAAACCAAGCTCGCTAGCCCTTTCCTTTTCGAACGTCTCAAAATATTGGTATATGATGGTCACGGCCAGTAAAATTCCTGTTCCAGAACCGATTGCACCCATGAAATCTGCCAGTACTGTCAGTGCACCAATGCACATTCCACCAAAAGCTGCTGCAGTCGGTATATACCGGTTCAGTTCCTTATACAGATTTGATTCCCTATGCCCAGGCATAACCATTTGTTGTTCCTAAAATGTCATGCACAAAAAGCTGAGGTGGATAAAGACTTCTAACATATTGAATAAACAGATGTAAATATTCATAATAATAACCATACCTTTAACTGTTTAGCCACATCACGGGCCGATGATCCTGAAACTTCAATCCAAGTCTTTGAAAATAAAGCACAAGCTGACAGCATAAACACAATATAAAATAAAGCGTGGAAGGGATTGGCTGCCATATCTGCCAAACTGCAATAATAATCGCAAAAAGAACACGGTGAGCCACAATGTGCATGCTAAGATTTTATATATTCTCAGGAGACACATGAATAGTATTAAAAGTTCACTGACATACGTGTGATATGGCATTGCATGGAACAGTAAGACTAAGAAATCAGCAGTTACCTTGATGGTGCTGTAATGTAATAAGCTAGACCGCCAACAGGAACAGATTGACCAGAATATTCAGATTCTTTCCACTTCCCCAACAGGTTCACAAGGAAACTTCCACTGTACTTTCTATACAGCAACTGTAATGATGCAAATTCAATTAGATAGTGTAGATTTTAGTCAATAAAAAAAGGTCTTTCAAGTAGACTTTAGGTACCTGTGAGATAAAGTAAAGATTGGATACAAGAGCTGACTGCAAAATGATAGGCATGTTTGAAGTGTAAAACAGCTTGATCGGATATGAACCCTGTTGTCCACGGGCATTCTTTGACCTGACAGGCAAAACAACCCGGAACCCTTGGAAGTAGATAACGATGAGGAAGATCAATACTGTGGCGAGCAAGTTTGTTACGTTTGGTAGGTTTTGCCGATAGAATGCCTCTCGAAGTGCACGCACCTTATCTGTCCGGGTTATTAGCAAATGAAATAATGCTATGACAGCTCCTTCAAATTCAGCTCCACGTCCACTGTTGATAGTAGTTGGACTGAACGCCTTCCAGATGATGGTCTCACTAGTCAAAGGAAGAATTCGTGTACCAAATTAATGCAGACTGATCGAAAATATAAAATATGCAAAGCACCTAGGTAGTAGCTTACCAGATATTGGTTGCAATGAAGAGTGAGATTCCAGACCCTAAACCATATCCTTTCTGAAGGAGTTCGTCCAAGCAAATAACAATTATGCCAGCGAAGCAGAGTTGGATAATAATTAAAATGGCATTACCAACACCAAGTTGGCTAACACTACCGTACATCCCAGAGAGAACATAGGCAACAGCTTCACCAATAGCTATTAGAATGCCTAATAGCTTCTGTGCTCCATTTCTGTAACCAAACAATATCACTTATCATTTCCATTAGCAATAAATAAACAGAAAAACATTGATATATGAGCTGGTCTCAGTGAAGTAGGTCACGCCAACTTAAGTATGCGAAAACAGAGAAAAGGCTTTGCTTGTTTCCAATAAAATAACTTGCAGTAGATTTTTTGGAGGATAATGCTTTCTAAAGAAAAAAAACAGAGGAAATTAAGTTGTTTTATGAATGATATAATGTGTAACCCACAAGATTATCAATAAAAAAACTTCTGAAATTAACTTTCCCATTAAAATACTGGAACTGCAGGAGGTCATTGTCCACAAAAGTATATATATCAAGGAAAATATTTTCTTGAAGGACAATATTTTCTGGTGTCAAATGAAGTCCATCACTCCATCCTATAAAATGTTTTTCTATACCAAACACAAGAGGCTTGGAATATACTTCCTATTCACTTGAGAATCTGGAGTGTCAGAAATGTACTTACAGAAGTGCTCGATCCTCACGCACATTGTTATCAACTTCAATAATCTTTGACCCCGCTAAGAGTTGCATAACAAGCCCAGAAGTCACAATGGGGGTGATTCCAAGCTCCATGACAGTACCCCTATTTGAAGCAAGAATGACACGCATCCAATAGAATGGATCTGCACCAGTTGTAGAGTGTATTCCATACAAAGGGAGCTGACTACATACAAGGAAGATGAAGAGGGAGATCACAGTATATATTACTTTCTCTCTAAAGGGGATTTTCCTGTCAGCACTTTGAACTTCAGGCAGAAAAGAAAGAAAAGGACGGACGAGATGGAGAACTCGAAATCCACCTCCCATTTCTTCTCTTATAGCTCAATCTGCACTTCCAAGTATAACGAACAGCATACACTATTTTAGAAAATCAGTATTGAGAAACAAGTAACTAACTAATATAGAAGGAAAATGAGGTTTTTTAGGCATGAAACAATAATGGGGTACACGCTGGTACAAAATTAGACAAGCAAATTAACGTTGAAATATTGTGTTTTTTTAGTAAGCAAAAGAAATGTGGAAAAAAATGGATAAGCAAGGTGCACTTCACACTGAGATTAAGAAATCAATCTCACTTTTTAAGGCCGGGATATTTTGACATAAAGAATGTTAATTGCTTCATCTCGTTAATCCGGGAAAGTTCCCGAAATAGGACTAAAACAGTTTCAAAATTCCAAAATAGGACTGTCATGTTTTTTATTCCCAAAATATGACTAATTACTGACATGTTTAGAAAATACTGACATGTTTGAAGTCTGTTACTGCCAAAACACGACAGTAATTAGTCTTGGGAATAAAAACATGGCAGTTTTAGAAAATACAGTAATTAATCCTATTTTGGGAATAAATAAGCTTAACCTTGTTTATGCTAATGAAAAGTAACTAATAACGTGGGCTAATGATTCAATCTTCTGTTTTAGATTTATTTATGCAGACATGCAGCCTTCTAAATTCTCTAATAGCAATAGGCACGCAACAACTAAATTCGCTTCCAAAGAAGCAATTTTACACAAATCCACCTTCTTATAGTCAAAATAGAACACCTAAAAGGTCATCAATCAAACTATTTATCAAAAATAAATAAAAAGGTTAAAATCTTAAAGATACCTGAGAACAGTATTGAAAAATGAATGAAATACGCGAAATTACAGATATGATCACAAAAATATCTCTTCTCTAATGGATTACAGATCCGAACTGTCTGCAATTTATGCCTTAATTATACGAATCGAAGGTAATGAAGGAACGAGGCGATGACGTCGGATTGGGTGACCGGCCCCTATCATTGCTAGACACGTATGTAGAAGCTAGAAAGAATTTGAGATTATATCTACCACTGATTGCGCCTAAATACTGTGGATGGTTCTGAAATTAACACATGATATTAACATGAGTTTTTTCAATAAAATATAATCCTCTGTCCCATTTTAATCGCAACATGTTGAATTTTACATTATTTACATGCTCTACTTTAATGTCGGCCAGGTGGAGGACTTTGTGTGGCGCATCGCTCTCTGTCGATTGAAGCTCGGGGATTTGTCGTCTTCGCCATTGATGTCAATGGCGTTCATCGGTTTCGAAGATGGTCGTGGATATGCGATGGCTAGGGTTGCGAGGTCTGATTTTTTTGTTTGATTTGGCTGTTTTGACTTTGCTGGTGACTGAGATGCAAGTTGCACCAGTTGTGAGAGCTTGATTTAATATAATGTGCCAGTTTTCCTTTCAAAAAAACATAGTTGCTATAATATAGTTACATGATTATTTAAGTGTAAAAATGAACATAATTTACCATGATTAAAATTACTATTATAGTCACCGCAATTAATATGTCATAGTAGTACTACATAGAAGTAATCACATTTTATGACTAAAATAAATGTTATTTGTAAAAAAATTGGGGTAATTTGAGTTTGCACTTCATATTATTGTCTAAATTGGACTTTGCACCTCATTTTTAAAAAAAATCTTTATTTTTTCACCCCATCCCCATATGCAAAGACAAAAATACCCTCAATCAGGAATATGTTGAAGGTCAACAGAATTGTCAATGGAGTGGCATTTTAGTCTTTTCATATAGGGTTGGGGTGCAAAAACAAAGATTTTTAAAAACGGGGTGCAAAGTCCAATTTAGACAATAATATGGGGTGCAAACTCAAATTACCCCTAAAAAAATTTGACATCTCATGTGTAGTGATTATAATAAGGAAGTATATATCATACCACTGGTTGTATGGTAGGCACCTAAATGTCGGTGACATTTTTGTACTTTAAGTGAAAATTGCAGCTAGCTTCCCCTAAATGAGCATTAGTGTACGTTTAGTGGGTCTCAGATATATTCTATTAAGTATCAGGAGTCTAACAACAAACATCTTGATTTCTGCGTCATATATTCTAATTATATTGTTTATACGTCAAACACAACCTTTGTTAATCAACGCTGCAGACTTCTTAATTAAACCAACCTCACCTTTTCGATTTAGGACGTGACAGTCAACATGTTTTTACAAAATATGTTTAGCTCATCACTATCCTTTTTAATATACTCCCTTCATCTCGGTCATTTCTTCCAACTTTCATTTTTGGGTAGTCCCAATTAATTCTTCCAACTTTCCAAAAAAAGAAATCAACTCATACTAAAAACCCTATTTTACTCTCCCCAATTAAAAAACTTTTCACATTCCCATCTCCCCTTTACCCATCCACATCCCTCTCTCTCCCATTTACTCCCACCCGCATCCCTCTCCCATTTACTTCCACCGCCTCCTCTTTCTCTCTCACTGCATCTGTCTCTCTCAATTACTCCAATCGTCTCCCTTTCTCATTTACTTCCTCCGTCTCCCCCTCTGTAAATCTATCTACCCTTCCGCCTCCCTCTGTCTCACATTTTTATGGATCTGAACCCTAATACTTTGAGTATGGAGAATATTGAACACTTCATTTTCCCTGACAGTGAAGAGGGTCTTCTTCCGGAGGAAGCGGTGGTGTTGGATTTTGCAGACCCTGTATTGGTACTCCATCCGAGGTGCATGGCTCAGAACTCCCTGGAAGAGGATGCCCTCCTCATTATCCTGGATAGTGAAGAAGAGCTTCCTGAGGATGTAAGCGATAAGCCTGCAGAGGTCGTGGGGGAGACGGTGGACCCAAATCGACTTAAAAGACGCAGAGACATTGACATGCATCCTATTCGGAGAAGTCCCCGGCTAGAGGAGTTCCTAAAAATAATTTTGTCAAAATGGGAAACAATGATGTGGGACGTGGGCACATATTAGGGGAGTTTCTTTTATACCCTATCTTTGTTTATAGTTTAATTCGTACTCTACGCCCATTGTGTGAAATTTGGGGGAAACAATGATGAAAAATTGTTTTATTGATGTTTATTGTGATGCATGTGTGTTGTACATGGTGTTTTGGTATTATAAATGGTAGTTAGGCATACTGTGATGAAAGTAGACCTTGTGTGTACTGGTCATTTATGCATACTATGATTTTTGTATTGGTTCATTCTACATGGTATGCTATGATGAAAGCATTAGGCTGTGAAATGGTACTTTGCGCATGCTATGATAACCATATGATAGTGTTTTGGTAGTTGATGAAACGGTTAGCAACATAAGAGGGGGGGTGAATTGTGTGTGTGTGGAACCGTGGCAGTTTTTCGCACAGTTCTAGTGTGGGGTCTAGGGAATTATGAAATAATAAAGTGCACAAGGATTTAACGAGGAAAAATCCCTTGGCTCAAAGGGATTAAAAAAACCTCGACCTCCCTCGGAGTAATTTGAACAACTTCACTAAAAAGCCTTTGAATGATTACAAGGGAAACTCTTCTAGTCTACCCTTGAGCCACCCCAACTCTATCCTCTCTAGGAAGAGTTATGCATCTCTACCTTGCGGGTAGAGAGCCTCTCAGCTTTACAACAAAGCTCTCACAACACACTAACCGACCCGAGGATGCTACACTTAGCCAATCCTCAAAAACCCAATTACAATAAGAAGAAAGAAAAGGAAACTCAGTCTGGAACTCCGTGAGCAAGTTCAGGTGCCTTGGACTTAGTAAGTATTCTAGTGTATATATCTCAATAGAAGCTTGGTCAAGCACACCTCATTTCTCTTTGGCTTCTTCGTTTATATAGGCTGTCTTGGGCAGACCGTTTAAGCATCCTTCCTTGAATAGTTGATCTTCTAATCTTGGGACTTGCCCCCATATTTTGAATTGCTTTCCTTCTTTATAATACTTCCCATATTCGAGCTCAATGTTTAAGGCAGCCGGATTAACCATCATATATATCGGCCCTGGACTAAGACTAGATACAAATATCTCGTGCATCTTTTTGAGTCAATCAATTAATTATCGAATAAGGTAGACTTTGGTCAATATTCAAGAAGGTAAGAATATTTTTCTCAACATAAGCAATCAACTCATTTAGATATGGAATATATTTCAACCAGATGTTATTCTGTCACAACCGTGTAGCTATGGAATATTTTGCGTACCATACTTAAGCTATATCAATTGTGGAAAGAGAATAATTACTTATACAAGGAAATCATAGCAATAAGCGAACAAGTAGGTGCAATCCGTATTAACTCAAATCATATCACGGATTGTGTTTTAGTTTCTCCTGCATGGTTAGTCAATCAAATTAATAATATCCATTCATTCCTGTTACTCAAGGAACTGTGAGCGGTTTTATCCGCCGTTCCCCTGTATGGTTAGTTATCAACAAAACAATCGTATACAACAAGGAACTGTGAGCAGTTCTATCCGCCGTTCCCCTGTATGGTTAGTCATCAACAAAACAAACGTATTCAACAAATTCCCCCTTTTTGTTGATGACAAACCTATGGTGCCAAAAGAGTCCCTGCAGGTTAGTACTTGAGCAAAACTTAGCAATAAAGTAACAGTAGGTTTTTAGGTTTTTAATATAGCAATAATAAGCATGCAGGCACCTGATTATTTCCCCCTTTTGGCATCAACCAAAAGGAAACAGAAAATAACCAAAACAGTGCCAAGTAAAAGTGCAAAGTAGGACAGTTTGTTAAGATGTTATGTAGCAACCCCCCCCCCCCAGTAAAAAAATGTTTAATCATCCTCATAAGAGTAAACTATTCTCCGATTAGTCGAGCTAGATTCACAGAACCGCTCCGCCACTTCCTGTTTGAAGGATTGGAAATCATTCCGAATAGCATTGGTTGAATCAGCCAGTGTGTCCATCTTTTTTGCCAATGCAGAGATGGAGTCTGAAAGGGAAGCAAATTGGTGTTGAATATATCGTTCCAGGAGATCTATGCGGTCAGTGATTGGGGGTACCACCATCATTGGGTCGATGGAAGGAACAGTAGTTGGTTTTGGTCTGGGTTTTTTTTCTGAAGAAGAGGGATCGGTCGGTTTAGGAAGTAGGTGAGAGTTTGATATAATTAGGCCGAGGTTGCTAAGACATCTCTTGTCCAGGACCTTGCAGGCTTCTTCAGAGGAGAACCTGTCTAGAGCAATGCCCTTAGATAGGAATATTTTTGTAAGCAGTGGGGCATATGGAATCCCAATCCTTCGGGATGAGGTACTAGTGGTAGAACTTAGATGAGTCATCATTAATCTAGGAAGGTTGATAGGAATTTTGTTGGCTAAAAGGTACATACAGGCCAGTTCAACTCTAGAGGGTGTGAATCTCCCTTCTAGCCTAGGAATTAAGTTGTGATGAACAAAGTAGAACAGTAGTTTGGGAATTGGTGCAAGGCTCGCAACATGAAGAGAGGATTCGGAAATGGTTGGGTTAAAATATTCAAGTGCAACTGTTTGAGAAGTGTCAGTTAGGGGCCACTCGGGTTTGTTATATTGGCATATACCAGTACATGGAACATCTAAAATTTGACCCAGATCACTCACATTTAACAGAATTTTGGTACCTTGTACCCTAGAGGATAAAAAACTGTCTTTGATAATAAGATTAGCCAAAAAATCTGAGATGAGTTCAGGAAACACAGAAGGACAATTCTGGGAATCAAACAAGATTTCCCATTTTTGGAAGGAAATAAGCTCAGTAAAATCAGAGGTTTTTCGAGTAATATCACCAGAGGATATGGAGAGTACCTTAACTATTCCCCGGGAGAGATACTCCTCCTTGAGTCGCGCGGCGTCTTCGTCGACTACCCTCCCCATCCTTGGATATTTTTTTTGGTGGAGCCCTTTTCGG